AGCCAGATGGTTATTGGGAAAGACTGCCTTAACCTCATCCTACTTTTTAAAAACTCAATTAAGGCAATTAGTATAGTTGACCTTTGGGGAAGGTCTTGGTTTAGTACTCAGCCACTTCTATCACTGATAGCTTAGGGAAGTTATGAAAAATAATAGACAAATTATAGAGATAAAAAAAAAAAAAGAAAAGATTTTTATAGAAAATTGAAATATGGTAACATTAATTTGACACGTGGAAAACATAATCAGGTTTACATTTTCCTTCTAGAAAAGATTCTGTTGTGAATTTAATTTGCGAAATAAATTATTGAAAATGTTATAAAACAGAATTTTTTTTCATCGAAGCGCTGCTTATAACATATCTTCTTGTAAATTCAGTTTTGTTAAAAACAATGTATTACTTACTGTACACCTTTAAATTGTAGACTAAATACTTTAGCGTAGAAATGCATTTATTATTTTGTACTTTGAACAACTGTGTATAAAATAACTTAGTTTATATTTAACTCGTTACTTAATACAACAGGAAGCAATGATTAATCATAGGCGCTGGTTATCTACTAGTGAAGACAATCCAAACACTTTTCCCAAAAATTAGTTGCTCCAATTAGCATGAGAGAAAGTAAAGCGCTCGGCTGTGGAGGCATAGCATTGAAGAAACGTACTTTTAATTGTTCGCAGCAACTAATCTTAGTTTTTGTTATTGCTATCCGGTTAGCTTACTCATTTCGTCATAAAAAGCTACCCGTCACTAATCAATAATTTACATTTATTCAATTTCGCCTCGACTATGTTACCATTTTTAGCAAAGACAGCGCGTCTTAAATTTTCCCTCCTCCCCCCTCCCAACCCAATAGGTATTGATTACACAACGACTATACGCAGTACAATAGTATTATAATTTAATAGGCATTAGATAATGAACTCAATGTGTACTCCTGCTACAGAAAATACATTTTCTTTCACAGCCAGACATGAATGACTTAAGTAAAATATGGTCACAATCGGGAGCAACATCGACCATTGCTATTTTAAGTGACCATATCTGTTTGCCTATGTTCATAGGACTATGCTGCTTGTGCGTTCTAATTTTCTGGTTTTGAAACTTTGGCATTCAAATACCATATTTTTTTTTTGTGCCCTATAAATTTCCGAAATTGTCTTGTATCGGTTTTACCGAAATATGTATATATCGTATAATTGTAATTGTGTGTATTAGTATATTATAGTGTTGATATTGTTTATGTTGTGTAATTTAAAAGAGAATTTGTATGTATATATATATAAACATATGATTAAGTATAATTAAGTACTATGTGCAGAACTTAGTGGAGGTCTCAATGTGGTCGTCGGGCCAAAAAATTTGCAGAATCCTGGTCTATACCATAGGTGGCGACCTATGGCCACCAAACGTTTTTGCGCGATATTTATTTATCTAGCGCTAGGATTAATTAATATTTAACTATCTTATAAGTCGTTACTTAGTTTTGAAAATTAATATAATTAAGTTGAATATATGTATGTGGGTGTGCGTATTTAGTGTGTGTGATTTAAAAACAGCAACAGTGCAGTAATACTGAAAGACCAGTGCCTCAAATTCAATTTGCCCCAAATAAACAGCGTCTTCACAGGCGAACTATTCGCCATATATCAGGCATTGTTATCACTAACAGAAAAACACATAACAAATGGCCGTATAGTTACAGACTTTTTAAGCTAATTAATGGCCATTGCCGAAGGAAAAGCCGACAATGTCATTTCCAGAAAAATCAAAAACTGCCTCTGGGAAATGAAGGAGTCGCCGGACAGAGACATCGTCCTCGCATGGCCACCCTCACATTGTGGCATACCTAGGAACAAAGCTGCAGATAGAGCTGCGAACCTGGCAAGAAGAAAAACTAATGGAACCACAATGATCAATTTAACGACCACTGCTGACTGGAGATTGGAATGCAAAAAAATGCTAAATGAACAATGACAATTTAAATGGAACCAATCTACAAATAAATTGCAAGAAATTATAAAAGATACCAAACCATGGAAGACATCTTTCAGAAAGAACAGAAAAGAAGGAATAATTTTAACTCGGCTTAGAATTGGACATACAGCCTTTACCCATGGCTACTTAATGAGAGGCCTGGAACCACCATTTTGTAAAACATGCAACACATCACTTACACTGAAACATATTGTAACAACTTGCAGACTATACTCTGACACCAGAACAAAACATAATATACCTTCCAACATATCTGACGCACTTTCAGATGACGAAGAAAAGATACAAAAAGTATTTGAATTTATAAAATACATTAAATTTGTCCATCTAATTGGATTCCATCTAAAGCCGCTAATGACCCGCTCGGGTAATGCGGAATGTAACAATAAATAAATAAATAAAAACAGCAACAGTAAAATATAAAGAATTGATGCAGCCTGCATTAGCACTGCCAAATCTCACTGCGGCCTCTAACGAAAAAACTGTTCCCCACTTATGACCTATTCATTAGTACAACATTACATGTATCATGTATATTGTATTTACATGACATATATATCTTTATATATATTGATTGGTTAATGCTGACCATAGGTTTTGCGGTATATTTACTCATTTATTTACCCAAATTTTATAATAATGAAGTCTGATGGGTTAACACTTAACTATTATTTTGAATAATTTGATTATATTTAGATTTTACTCAGACTAATGATCTAATTATTTTTATTAACAATATTCTGATCATCGCAAATCCCAATTGTTCATAATGAGCCTTGAATCTTCTCGTAATCGATTCACATTGAAATAAATAAAATAAAACTGATAAAAAGAATACCTTTTACCTCTTCAAAACAATGAAAACTGGTTTCCATTGTTTACAGAGTATTGACAAAGGATTAAAAAGATAGTAATATCTAACTATTCAACGCCATAACCTTTGGTTCAAATAAATATTTATTATGAGCTATGATTGATTAATGTTGTAATAAAGTTTCACAGAATTTTATTATTTAATTATCAATTTTTCACTTTGATGATGATTGCTACTTAGCACAACATTTTAATTTCTAATCGAACATAAATTTGATAATCTTTATCGCCAAGCTTGATGATTTAAATTAAATTTATTTTTAAAGTCAGACATTTTTTTTAAACCTTATTATTAAATGTATAAAAGTAATTGTCTCACTTCTTTACATGTCATTTACATGTTATAATGGGTAAATAAATTATTAAATTGAATGTGTCCCAAGTTAACGATTTTAAAAATTCTAAAGATTACATAAATTACAATAAATTATATTAATTTGATATATTAAAAAATGGAATAACTTACTGTTATCAAAACCTTATATATTTTAGTTTCATTTTTAGATTTTATTAAAGTATTTTTTTTAATATATCTCTATATTTTTGTATATAATATATTGAATTTCTAAAAAAAAATCATAATATATTGTATTTAGGGCTTTCTGGTCATATTTTTTATGTTTGGGACCACTTTAATATTTAAAAATTGATAGTGTTGAAATTGAAATATTTCACTGATTTGTGACTAAGCAAAAAAGTTTTAAATTTGAAAATAGTCTAAGAAGATGAAACAACCATAATAATAAAAAAAAATGTTTGCACGTGAATAAGCGAAAGTGCTGAATGGAATTCGATAAAATTGATATGGGGCCATCTAGGCACTAATCCGCATGATCCCTGAAAATATCATAGAAATCGGATGAACGGTACAAGGTGATATGCCCGTCACAACGACTACAGACAGACACCGAACCAAATTTGATCCTTGATGTCTGAAACGTAAAACGCGAGTGGAAATTTTCGATTCTGAGCACATTTTTTTTAACCTCTGACACGAAAACAATGCTTCCCTACCTTTGGTAGTGAGGAAACAAAAAATATTTTAAAATCGCGATATTTCTACTAATAGTGCTTTGATTTCGATGAAACTTCCTTCATTTTTTAGGAAATTTAAATACCTTTGAAACATCTTATCACAATATTGACAAAAAAGTGTATACTTTTTGAGGTATTCGAAATTTAATTTTACCGTTCCTTGAAATTTTTTTCTCAGCTTCTTTTCGTTGAAGTATGTTATATAGATAAATTAAAAGGGCGTAGAGAAAATGACTTTAGCGAAGTTTCATTGAAATATTCGTTTAGACGCTACAATCTATAGCAACGCGCGTAGTATATTAGCGCACATATAAAAGAAAGTAGTGGACAGAATTCAATAAAATTGACACTACATTATTTTTGTACCAATATCTACCTTTTATCCAACTTTGGGCCAAATCGAACAAGCCATTTCTGAAATATTGGCATATCTAAAAAATTACGTTTGCGCATGCGTAAGCGGAAGTGCTGGATGGAATTTGATAAAACTGATATGTGACCATCTAGGCACCAATATGCATAATAACTGAAAATTTCATGAAAATCGGATGAGCGGTACTAGGTGATATGCCCGTCACATCGATTTGACTACAGATAGACTGACAGGCAGAGAGACAGATACCGAACCAAATTTGATCCTTGATGTCTGAAACGTAATGCTCGATTCTGAACACAAATTTTTTTTAACCTCTCTCACAATGCTTGCCTACCTTCGGTAATGAGAAGGCATAAAATCTAATAAAAGTTTTTTTTCATCCTAAACCAGAAATCAATTAAGTAATTATATATATTGAATTTTTTTTTTCAGAAATTAGGATGAATTTGTCGATCATTTTTCTTCTACATCTCGTTGTTATTATCTGATCTCATTATATTTAAATCGACCCCAAAGAATATCTATTGTACAACTATGGTACATCTCAAGGAAAAATATCTTCTGTTATATTTTATTTTATTATTTTATGTTTAATCACGTATCGATCCATATACAGTAATGTTATTAATTTGGTGGCATCGGTCCTGAATCTTCAAAAAATGAAATGAAAAAAAAAATACTGTTGGACAAAGTTGAAAGACCAAACTGGTTTATCCCTCACTCTATTTTATTAAATGACCTCTTATACAACCAATAGCTCTCCCCTCGAATCGGCAGATCAGAGTCGATTTCAGGGTCTGTGAGTTCTGAGGGAGAAGTTTCCAGGCAAACGCTGAGCTTCAGGGAGGGTTTCACTTTCTTCTGGTCTGCAAATTTATTCTACCAAACTTATATCCAAAAACATTGTTGAAGTGCATTATTAAATCAATTAACTTTGCATATACATATACTTTTAACTAACAACAACACATTATACATGTGCGGTAAAGGAACGGTTACAAAACTTCATCTAAAACCTATTAATCTGTTTTTTCATATGTTATATAACACCCAACCGCACTAAGCGATCAATTCGATTTCGACATTAATGCGTGCAACTAAAGAGTAGTACACAACATTGTATCTAATAGCTCTTAATTATCATGTTACATTATGTGTTTTTGATATGTAATAGTGTTTTATGATATAACCATATTTATAAAAAAATATGTTTCATTTATTAGTTACACATATTCCTGGCTCACAATAAATTTGCCATCTACCTCGTTGTTCAGCAAATATGATATCAAGGAGAATAAACGATAGCATAAAAAAAAAAAAAAAAGGAATAGTGATAAAAAGACAACAAAAAAAAAAAGAAAGAAAAAACCCTGTAAAATAACACATAATAACACACAAAAAAAGATAATACAGCAAGTAGCTCAATGCCTACTTAATAAGTCTCTTGTCCAGCGCCTCAGCAGTATTTTAGACGGATGACATGGATTGGTAGCAGTCGATAGAGCTTGAGTAAGTGGATTGGAATTTAGAGTCAGTCTGCCATGAAAATTATTAAGGCGGTCAATGGCAGTTGCCGTGATGAAAGGAGTGTTAAGGTCAGTGTGTAACGTGAGGTTTGAAACATAAAAGGGTGCGTCTACAATTTTCCGAAGGACTTTTGACTGGAATGACTGGATGATTTTTATATTTGATTTCTTTGCTGTTCCCCATAGCTCGATTCCATATGTCCAAAGTGATTTAATGAGAAAACTATAATTGGAAAAACTCCAACCAAGCAGTCTTATTTCTCCAAAAATATATATATATTTGTTTATATTACTTAAATATAACTTTATTAATGTAATAAAGTTATTTACAGCAATAACTTTTGTTGTGGGGAATCTGTTTCCGAAAAACACTCATTTCATACTCTGTGTATATCGGTTTATGATTGGATTACATTTGAGCAATAAACATAAGCGATACCTTGAGGTGTTGTACATCGGAGGGCGTTGCAAAGCAAAATTGAAAAATAAAATTAAGTTACATTATTGAACAAATAAAATCGGTATTATTCTAAATACTATACATATATAATGTTAGGATAAATATGAAGTTTCTTAATAAAACTGAGTATCCTTCTTGTCGACAAATTTTTTTGTATGAATGAGAACATTGCCATGATTATATCTGTACGATTATTTCATTTCACTTTCTTTTGTGAGAAAAACATCAAGTTAGCTCAGGTTATTTCAGTGTAAGTAGACTAAGGAATTAGAAGTTATATGGCTGCTTTCTCAGTTACAATACGGATCAACTTTAATAGAAGGGACTTAATAAAAGGTCTTAAATTTAAAAATTTAACTGCGATGTAAAAAAAAATAATAAAAAAATAAGAGGTGTGCTTTAGACCACACGAATGAAGTGAAAACATCGACAAGGGGAGATTAATAATATGGTGGAGCGCCACTTTTATGTAACTTCACTAATTCAAATATCCTAGGTTTATTGTAGTTAGGATTAATCAGTTTAATTTGGTTTAATAGGAAATTTTTAAAGTAAATAACAAATTTCTATTACATAAAATATAGACATCAAAGCAAGGTCAACCTAAAAATGTCCTTAATGATTAATAATTTACTTATTTAAATTAGCGATACTTACTGGTTTGTTTTGTATCCAACGACTGTATGAAGAATATTCATGTGGAAGTCTGTAGTTGTAAGGTTATGTAATGTTATATTATTATATATTTTCCATTACGGCTAAGAACTGTTCCTATTATTATTATGATTTATATTATTTCTCTTCTTATTTTTCTATATATTGTTAATAATGTTGTCAAAATAAAATTTCGCTGTCGTAATAATATTAACAATTGTACTATTGTAGCATAAACTCGTTTTCATTTGGTTTTGGGCACTATATTTTCCCCTCTTCTACTCTATAACACGGTTTTGGGTTAAGATAAAAGTTTGAATAATAGCTCATTAATTACAAAGCTGAACATTTCCCTCATTTACAGCATACAGGTCCGATTTTTAGTATCTGAAATATTTTAATCCATATGTTCAACTAAACTCGTTATCATTTGATTTTCGACCCTATTTTTTCATTTTCGCCTAACTAACACGGCGCTGCGTTAAGATACAATTTTTAATTATAGCCTATTACAGAGAGGATGAAATGCTGAATAATTTCCTCACTTACATTATACAGGCCCGATTTTTAGTTTCTGAGATATTTTAATCCACATGTAAAACCATTTCAATTAGTCGACTCTAGCCGACTTTACCCGAGCTTTAATATCAAGTGAAATCTGACGTATCAATCTAATTCTCTCTCCACAAAAAAGTGCAAAACGCACCTAAAGAAATTTTCACTTCGAAAAATGTAAGACTCAGTCAATTTGAGTCATATCACTTCATATTTGTATTATTATAAAGTATTAAATTAACAAAAGTATGATTATGTTCTAATAAATTTGTATTAATACATGTCACTAATAGTGTTTTTATGAGAAAATGTGCCATAACTAGCCTATTTCAGGTATTATTCTATTTTACGAAACTACCAGCAAATTTTATCCAATTTATTATTTTAAATAAGCACCACTCCTTTTTAAAAATGATTTTAAAATATGAACTTTGTATATGACTTTCATTTACTCAATAAACTTTACTCCGATATTGTTAATTAATATTTTGCTATTAATACATTTATAAAAAAAAAGTTTACAAAAATACATTTATCTTAATATAAATTAACCAATAAGTTTTGAAGGTATGTTAAGCGATTTACTTCCTTTATTTTTCAGCTATTATCAGTTATTTTGATAATTTATAAATTAAATAGGAGAATTTAATTTTTAAACTCTGAAATGTACGTATTATGAACATCTTTATTTTGAATGTAATGATATAGAAACGTTAATATTTCTAGTATAATTAATATATCCTAGAGATGATCTATGAGTTTTAGTTGTCAACGAGGAAATAAATAATACAACACAATGGCAGGGACGTTTTATTCACCTTGAGCGATCCCCGACGATAATGAACTGTAATCCTAGTATTTGTGTAGCCTAATCATAGAGCTTAAAAATAAACCGAAGAAAGGTGAATCACGTACAAGCTATTCCTTGTCTGTGGTTTAGAGAAAGTTGTGTGAATGTTTCACTTGAGTATAAATTAGAGGTTTATTCAAAATAGCGAGTGTCATCATCAGTCTTAGTAAAATTTCATGTATAAATAATATTAAAAAATGACACACTAAAGTAATAAATAAATTTAAGTATTTATATCGTGCTCATACTAATTATAATTATAAATATTTTTTAAAATAAAAAAATGTTTAATCACATCAATCAGAACAAATAAAGCAGTTCTAGTATATCTTATTCAACATTTCTATTAGCTACAGAATTATCTATATTTCAGAGAGTATGCTTAGTGTTTTGTGAATAAAATCTGCAGGAGAAGCAGTATTTGAAGTATAGTCTTGCAAAGAGAAAACGCACGCCTGAGTGAAAGAAGTCGGAATTTGATTAAGTCGATATTTGACCATCTAGGTATACACTCTCACTTCATGAAAATTTCATCGAATCGAATTAACAGCAATAAGTGTTACTATGTTCTTTACATGGATTCCACAGCAAAATACAATTTAAATCCAATGTCTATTAAATGTTAAGTCTTTTGAGACTGCTTTTATAATTATTATTATAATTAGTATACACATAACCTTCTTTTCAATACTTTCTTAGTCTAACACTTTCCACTGCCTAAATTCCTTGTACTTTATTATTAAAAATTAGTAACAATAATTTTAATTGTTAAATAGAATTTGATACTAGAACATTTTTACAATATTTTCCTCATTTTCTCCAACTTTTGGTCAAAACGAGCTGGCCGTTTTCGAAATGTATGCATATGGAGTAAAATACGTACACAGATCTGAAAGCGGGAGCATATTTAAATAAAGTGAATAGAATTTGATTAACTCGATACCTACTCGATCATTAACCCCTATTACTTTTACAACCTCTGACTTTTCCTCAAAATTTCGACCAAATCAAAATTGCGGTTTTTGAGAATTGAGAGGCGTATTAAGCAAAATACGTGTGCGCACATATGAAAGGTTTGCCGATCTCTAGGTTACGATGAGATGAAGCTCTTTGTGAAGTTTCAGGCGAATGTGAATAATTTCATAAAAAGGGTCTGAACCACGGACTATATGTTCTTGCTGGGGAGAAGATTTCCATCACGAAAAAGAATGAAATATTTAAATTCTATAAACAATTTTTGTTTATTGAGGAATTGTTATCTTCATATCTTAATCAATGAAATAAATAATCTTTTATCGTGCTGATACCTCAACTTAAGGCAATTTATTTGACATTGGGTTATTCAAAATTACGTTTATTAGTTTATTGTATTATATTAAACCGGAAAAATAGAAATTAATTTTTGCTTGGCCAGAGTTTCATTATTTTAATATTATTATTGCTTGTAAATAATAGTTTTTAATTATTTAATTTAATTCAATAAGTAGCCTCCCTTTTCCCTCCACATGTGGAGGGGACAGAATTGGTTCGAAGATCACCTGGCAAATTGTAAATAATGTATGTTTTATATAAGGTGTTTGTTTTACTTTTATTTCTATTTTTATTTACTTATGTGTATATATATATATTTTTTTTTTTCTTTACTCTTTTGTTCTTTCTTCTTATTCTTTTGTTATTACTTTATTTATTTATATTTTTGTATATACGGTATGAATGCAATCTCTGAACTCTATTATAAGTGTCCTTAACTGTGACAAATTGTAATATTTCTGAATAAAGTGTTTTAAAAAAAAATTCAATAAGTATCACTGTCTCAAAACG